TTTGGTGAAAATTTCGAAGCTTCGCTATAAGTTATTACTGAGTTATGAAATTCTGGAATTGGTCGTTATTTTCTCGTTTTCTTTCTCTTGTACTTTTCGTAAGGCATGAATATTTGGATATGCCGCAGCTTACGTCCAGTATTTATTAACAGATATGTTAGTAGGATTGGATATGCCATAGGATCCCGCGAAATCCTATGAGGTCAGATGGACGAGACAAATCTAGTATGCTATGGAATGAGCTAGGATATCCTGTGCTTTATGTTGTAATGCTAAAATCGTTTTGACGACGTGAAAGGTGTCGCAACATGCAGCAACTTTTTTTACCTGTTTTGATTAGTCTGTTTTATTCTCTAATAGGTTGGCGACTGTTATGTGTGAGAATGGGAATAAATATTTAAGCAATATGTAAAGATTCATTCAAACAAGGTAACACTCATCTGCCCTCACCCTGCTCCTTGACTTTAGTAACTTGCATTTGCGAACGATCTGCCATGACTTTTGAATGCAGGACACGCTTACGCCTCCCTTCGGTCTGCGTTTGCTAGAAAACTCTAAAATTTGTTGCGAATTTTCCTCCGATTTGATGCGTAAGATTTTTAATTTAATGTAAACATAAAACGTTTTCTCTAGGCCCTCCAAAGATCCCCAGACGTGTAAAAATATTTCTAAATTCAAGACAATCCTCAGACATCCCTTTGGTAGGGCGTAAACGGCGTAAAAACGTTCCGTTAGCGTCACAGTAAACTGGCAGTTTCAAGAGCGTCAGTGCACGGTCTAAAAACGGACTGTTTACAGGCATGATCGAGTGAAGTATATGTTCTATATCGTAAACGGACCGTCTTTAGACCGTTTTGACGACAAGTCATTCACCTCATTTATTTCACTTCGACTACCAGTATAAATGGAACGCCGATTTTCTTCGAATATAAATTTATGTATATATATCGAAGTTATAACTTAGAAATTTTTCTCTTCCTCTAGTATATAAGCCATTAAAGTTTGTATGGATGGGAGTAGCCCTAGTGGACGGACTTGTACTAGTGATAGTGCCATACTCCTGAGGCTGGTAAACGAAGGGAATCCGAAAAAGTGAAAAAGCTCAGAAAATAAAATTTTTCAGTTCATGATCAAAAATAATGAAATTAGAAATATGTACTGAAAGCGATCTAAAAACGGCCCCAATTAAACAATGTGAAAGTGGTGCATAAACGACCTGTTAACAGAACGTTTACGGCACGTTAACACCCCGTCAACGATAGCGTTTTCGACGACCTGGGCAGTTATCGAAATATTAGTTTCAACTATACACATGAAAGAAAGAAAAAAAAGTACTTTATATGATAAAGTGTCAAGGTATTTTTATATTCTTTTTAATATGATGTGATGCCTGTGGTGAAAAGTGCTTTTAGTACATTCACTTACGCCTATGAAAAGATAATGCATCTTCTACAGTTCTTGTTTAGTGAATATTGTTAGTTGCATGCTATGATAGTCGTTAGGGCGATAAGTGACAAGGTTAGTCTTGTTAGTTTTGTACTAGAGTGATTGATATGCGTCCGTGGCACAATCGGTTAGCGCGTTTGGCTGTTAACCGAAAGGTTGGTAGTTTAAATCTATCTGGAAGCATTTTTTTCTCTCTGACCTTGTCAGTTATCGCCCTCACGGCTATCACAGCTTGTAACTAACAACATTCACGGGTATTGCTAAAAGACGCGAACACCCACGAACACCCCCAAATTAGAATCTGAGTTAGCCAATCGATAGAGCTCGTCGAGCTGAGTATAGCAACGTCTAACGAACACCCAAAAAACTTTTTATAGTTTCGCAGTATGGGTGAACCTACCCGTACCTCACCCTCACCTTCACCCCCACACCACACCCTCAGGCCAGAATAACCTGAAGATGGATTTGGCGCACTTTTTTGGGTGTTCTTACCCTTTCTTCTTTGTGTTCGTGGATGTTCTTTGGGTGTTCGTAGGTGTTCGTGGATGTTCGTGGGCGTTCATTCAAAATATATGTTTAAAAAGCGAAACTATAAAAAGTTTTTTGGATGTTCGTTAGACGTTGCTATACTCAGCTCGACGAGCTCTATCGATTGGCTAACTCAGATTTTAATTTGGGGGTGTTCGTGGCTGTTCGTGGGTGTTCGCGTCTTTTAGCAATACCCTGAATCGGGCAATACTAGATTTTTTTTTGACGCTTGGGATGCGCCTTATAGCATTGCAGGCTGTTAGTGTTCATTTTAGAACAAGATGCTGTAGCCATCACAAATATTTAGAGAGGAATGTATATTGAATGGGCGAGCATCAGTTATCATCCAATGTCATGAAATATACAAGCATGTGAACTCAGAACAATAAAAACGAAAGTGAAAAATCAAAATTTTCTGTTTATTTATTTACATTCGCTAAGAGAGCAGCAACGGTTTACATTCCATAGAGAAATGATACTATCGAACTTTGGGAAAGTAAAAAATATGCTTTAATCGCAATGCACTACGTACGTCCTCAATGCTCTGATTAAATAACATTTGAATCATTTTGATGAGTCTAAATAACCTTGAAATGAACTCAGTTAAACGCGAGAATAAAAACTAAAATTTTTTTTGAAGAATTACTAAGAGTTGCGCAACGAACGATTTTTTTTCTGCATTTAGTGCATCTTAGAATGCTTATATTTCTGTTAGAGATACGTTTAAATAGTTTTTTGACAAATGACTTTTATAGAGCAAACCTTTTTCTACAAAATGAGACGTTCTGCAACTGTTAGTGATTCTCTATAATCGAATTATAGCAATTTTCCTAGATGCCGTACCACCAGTTTTTAACTGGTGCATATCTGGGTATGGCAGCATCTAGGGTTGACACGTTTCCTTCTTCTGTGTAAAAAAATTAAAGGTATTGTTACTCATGAGGAAGAAATTGTTGAATGTAAATAGCTTATCAAAAAATTTTCAAACGTATGTCCCGAAGACATTTAGAAAATAAAAGATTAGTAGAACAAAGAGAAATCTCAACTCTATCATCTTTTCCTTTCTCTATGAAAGTAACGAGAAAGTGATACCCGTAATATCAACTCAACTTCACTTTATTTTTCGCATTTATCTTCCTCCTGGCTACTTTCAGCCCTTTATTGCACGATGCACAAAAAAAGATTCTACAGCCCATATTTCTAATTACTGGCCTGTTTCTCTTCTTCCTGTTCTGGTGTGTTTTTTGATTTCTCTAAAGCTTTTGACATTCTCGCTCACACTCTTTTTTATTCAAAAAATCGTCTTGCTGTGGTCTGAGTGATCCATTGTTTATGTTCATTTTTGTTATCTTTCAAAGTGTGTTCGTGAAGATGATTCTGTTTATTCTTCTTTTTCTCTTGTTTCCTCTGACGTCCCTCAGGATAGTGTTCTGGAAAATCTTCTTTCCATCATATTTATTAATGATCTTTCTCTCTCTTCCATCAAAGTGCAAAATTTGTCCATTTGCTGATGACAGTTTTGATTTCTCTCTATCTCTGACATTCTTAATTTGTCTTATTTTCAGAATTGTATTAGTTGTGTCTCACACATCATGATTCTAAATGTTCTTGGATGCATTTTTCTTTTAATGCCTTTCCTTTAGTATATTAACAGAGTATCTAAATTATTCTCCTCTCGCTGTTGTTTCTCCTGTACGTTTACTTGGGGCTCTTGTTTCACATAATTTCAAATAGATTAATCATGCCAGAGATATTACTCACGTCTATCGACGTGAGGAATGTCTCTGCCTAGCACCTCCGAGATTTGAAGTCGAGTTTTCGTTCTGGCATCTTCTCAATCTTGATTACTATTGTCAGTTGCATGACAGTTTTTTCTCTTAGGCGTAACAATTGAACTAATATAATTTTTCAAAATTTATCGTAAATCAGTCCCTTTCCTCTCTTTTATTCTATTCAATCTCCTCATTAAAGATCTTACTGTTCAATCGTCTATTATGTTTGGCACTAAGAGTTTTCGTAAATCTTTCTGATTTGAGTAGATCAACGTAGTCTTTCAATCAAATATTTCTGCACTAAGTTCCGGAAACTTTGAATTTGATAAATCAGTAGAGGGTCGGTTTAATTATTAACGTAGTGATTTTGTTATTGTCATACTTGACTACAAATATGGTCTATCCATTTTCAGTCATTTTATATGCCAAAAACTTCTATATTGTATCGGAGATTATTACCGACGTCATCAGAAACTAAAACTGATTCATTAACATAAGATTAATGATGATTTTAATGGTTAAGGATGATTACTAGTCATTATTTAACAACGAAAGTTTAAATTTGGTTTTTTTGACCAGTAAAGTCGCTAAAACTCTGCTCCAACCGATAATAATTTGAAAAAAATTCCAAGACGTTGTATCCAGATCAAACATTAACTACCAGAGCTGGGCGAATTACATTTCTGTGGATCCCTCTTCGTCCTGCAACGCCATTTTCCGATTTATCTGTGCCTCGTCCAAAAAAAGTTGTTTTTTTTCGCTCTGCAGATTATCCAGAATCCGCTCATCTCTGGTAGCTACTATTTCTGTGCTAATCAAATACATTAGTCAGTTAAAATTATAAATGAAATTCTATTGTGATAGAAAATAAAATTCATCTTCAAAATTGACTCATATGCTGCAAAAAATTAAAAAAACACAATTCAAACGGCATTTTAATGGAGAGACTATCAATACATTTTCTTAAAAAATCTCATTTCGTGTGTTATGATAAAAATAGATTAAATATATTTTCGAGTAATAATAGTAGCAGCAATAAAATTCAAAAACGAAAACGATACAATAATTTAAAACAAACGGACAAACAATGTTTGTTAGAAAATAGTCTATGTAAATAATAAGAGACATAAATGTCAACAAAAATAAATAATTTTATATATACAGATCGAATGAAAATAAAATGAAAAACCTAGAGTACTAAAATCAGTAAATAATAGAAAAGGCATAAATGAGAGAAAAGATATACTACTTTGTTTAATTATCTATTTCACTAAATAACAAATTAATCCCGTCTGTTTTTTCTTTTATATTAACTGCACACGGAGAAGTTTGAGTACAATGACAATGATTACTGTACTTTTTATATATTTGTTCATATTTCCACTGCTGCATATCACTAACGATATATTTTTCACTATCGATATCGTTCAAATTGCGATATTTTTCGAATTCAGATATAAAATTATAGTCTTTTATTTGTTCTTGTTGTACTTCTGCTTCTAGTGTTGAAAATTGGAAAAATTGTGACAAAAAATAAACATACATCTGAATACGTTTATCAGCAATTTGAAAATTATCAACACGTTCCACTGACATCAAATTTGTCGTGTTTAATAACGGGCGAAGTTGTCGTTTAAAGAGATCTTTTTTTAATAATAGCCAGATTGTACGAATATATGTTAATACAACAGGATATTGACTATAACGTGTACCATTCTGGGTAATAAATTCACCTAAAGCAATAATAATTCAGATTACTAGTACATCGACACTATTGCACATACCGCTGCTTAGAGCCAAACATACTTTTTTATAACCGAGTCTCATATCTCGTAGAAAAATGAGGATACTGAGATAAGAATGCATCGAATTTGAAAAGAGAATGCAAGACTAGTCTATGCTGTTATCAAAAACTTTTTAGAAAATTTAGATATAATAGAAAAAGTTACAAAGATCTTATTCAACATTTACTTTACCTTGAAAAGCACAGGCTTTTAAGATGGATGAAAAGTGTGGAATGTTTTGTCGAATAAACCATAATTTTTTCACATCATCACATGTTAGTATTAGTGGTTTTGTAACTTCATTATTATTCAGTGGAAATAAACTTGATGGTAGTAACAGTTTCAGAATTGTAAACCACGCTTTTCCAACCAACTGAATTAATTGTTTACACCTCTCTTTAATTCCATGAAAATTATCACAAAGACAGAGAAAGGCATTAATGGCTTGTAAACGTTGAAAAACACGAATATAATCCAATTCTTGTAAGGGTGTAATCAACAAGACAGACAAGGTCTTTAAATCATTTTCCACCACTTCGATTTCAGTTAAACCCAAATAAAATGAGCCCATACAATCATAAGGAATTCTGGAAATAGAAATTTCAAGTAGATTTCACTATAGTCATATGAATATTGAATCTGTACCGTAGAGTTAATTCTTCAATCGAATTATTTAGCCAACGATTCACAGCATCATTTTCTTCGACATTTAAATTCTTCGATGATTCAGATGATGTGGAAATTAGACGAGGTCGTTTTATCGCTGAGGAAGATGGACGTTGTATTGGTGAAGAATCATTCTCATCATTTTCATCGTCATCGTATCGGCGTTTCAACGAAGTCGATGCTGTTTGAATTTGTTGGCTCATGTTGATAGAAGCAGAAGTTAATATTGGACAACTAGATGATTTTATGAACTGAAATTTATGCATTCGATCTAAAAATATAAATAAATACAAATAGATCAGATCGATACCTAAATTTCATTAAAGCTCTGTCAAGACTGTGTCATATTCATCAAAGAAATTTTTTGATGAAATTTTTTTTGTTTTCAAAGTGAGTGTCAAATACTGTGATTGATGACTAGCGGTGTTTTTAATAGGAATTTTTTTCAGAATGGACCTTTCCACTCTGCTGTTAGCGTCAAAGTGGGATTTTCCACTTTGATATGAAATGTGAAGTGAACAAAATGGGAATAGTTCAAATTTTTGTCTAGTAGCGGCTAAAAGAGATTTTTTTATCGTCACAAGGGTTTCGTTTTACCACTTTCAGTTAAATAGACCGAAATTAACTTCTCTACCCTCATCAATTACAAATTTAACAAGAAACATCTTAGATGATTCCTCTAAAACAAAATGTAACTAAAAGAATAGCTGTAAGTTGAGCTTGCAAGTTTTCTGAGACAGAAAATACGGAAAAAAGATAAAGTGGAAATTCTCAAAAAAGTGGGATCCTATTTTGCTCTCGCTTGCGTCATTAATCATTAAAAATACTGATAACTAGTAACGAGATGGGCGACCCTGTCAGAAGCTTGTCAACTGCAGGGAAGATATCGGATTATTGAAACTACCATTCGACAGCACCCTATACCGAAAACAGTAGCCGCACGGCGCGCTATTCTTTATTCCTTCTATGATAATCCGGACATATCTTGTACTTTTATCGTATATCGCTCGTACCAAGGAAAAATCTCGATCCACCACTGATTTAATTCCCATTAAACGCTAAGAATTCTTGACCGAACAATCAGCATCCGGTTATACACTAGGTGCAAAATGATATAGTCATCGTGAAATCCTGTTTTTTTAACGCTGTGCGCTCGGTGTTTGCATCTAGTTTAATCCATACTCTCATTGAATGAGTGTGAGAGAAAAAAGAGATAATATGATTGGTTAAAATTATTTCGTAGAGGGAACACTCATTACTCACCCCCGAGATAAATAGGTTCTTGATAAGTTCCGAACATTGCAGGTGTGTATTTGTGTATTAATTATTTGCGCATACCGCCTGGTTCATCGAGGACTGATATTTTCGAAGCTTATGGCGCTCTCTATGAGAAAAATTTAGACTTTCATGCACTTTCAGATTTCCTTCCGTCTACGGGATTCTGACTTCTCATTCACTTTTCTTTTGTAGTTAACACAAAATCAATCGAAATTGAGATCATCTGAGGCTGCTTCTTAAGTTCAAACCTTCAAGTTCAAAATAGATTGATTATACTGATGTTTCGAGTTTTCACTTGATTGTTGAGTCATAGCCAGAATTGCCAGATAGTCCGCATTTTGTGGACAAATTCCGTTTTCTGTAGTTTTTTCCGCAATCTGTCCGCTTTTCAAGGATTTTTCGCTTTTGTCTTTTTTCCGGCAATGAAGGTTTTTACATTTTCTTATAAAGAATTTGGCCAGGCCGAATGACCTGTGAAAACAATGTTTTTACAACTTTTATAAAACAGATGCACAAAAAGCCAGTTGTGAAAACAAATTCAAATTGTGAGTTAGATGATGTTTTGTACTTCTTTTGTGTTTCTTAAGTGGAACCACCATAAAACGCTAGAAAAAGTCTTTTGATACTTTTGCATTTGGTGAAAAATGAAGTAATACGGTGAGAAATGTGTTTTCGCTTTTTCGACTTTCCTGAGAAAATTCATTTTTTCTAAATCAGAGGCGAAAAAGTCGGACTTCTCAATCAGAACTTAACTTTTAAGCAATAAAAATATCATATTCAGAATCAGAATCAAAAACTGAGTCGACTAATATGTATTTTTATCCTATCCAACTATTTTAATTTTTTGCGAATTTTCACGTTGAAAAATCATCAAGATTTTCACCCAAAACTGAAATCAGCTAGAAAATTCGAAATACAGATCAGTTGACTGAGTTTTTGATCCTGATTCTAAATATGATATTTTTATTATATAGAAGTTGAGTTCTGATCGAGAAAATTGAAAACTACGGACAGAATTCTGACTTTTTCGCTACTGATTTAGAAAAAACGAATTTTCTCAGCAACGAAACAAAATTTGAAGAAAAGCGAGTTATACTTTTGAAGCCGACACTTCAGCAAATATAATGGGATGTAAATGATAGTTCGAACCCTTAAAAAAAGAATGGAAATGAAGACTTATATGATTCTTAGATAAATTAAATATATTTGATTTAATAAAATCGTTTTCTCCTAGTTTATTTTACAGACAGTGCTACATAAGTGTATTTGCTATTTATTAGCTAATGCTCCATTGCTTCATTCCAAGAGATTACGTACTAATTTTTATAAATTAAGTTGTGAAAAATAATTATAAAACATGTGTAGCTTTTTTGCTACTATGGAACTCAAAGGGTTAAAGATTTAAATAGTGTCAAATATATTTCGAAATACGAGCTATTTAATGACACAAAATTTTTCATTTCTATTCGCATAGCTTGTTGGCAAACACATAAGGAAATTTTGTTGAAAAACATAGCTGCTAAGAAATAAAAAGCGTTATTTTCAAAACTAGAAAACATTGATGCGAAAGTCATACATAACCTAAAACTGAATCTTTCGCTCGAATGATTCATTAAAAAAAATTTTTTGTACGCTGCTGATGTCAGAAAAAAAATTGCTTTCTTGGCTTACAACAGCCAATGGGTGATGGTGGGTATTAATGTAGAGTTCTGAAAACTTTTTTTTATCACGGCATTGAAAAGAGCACCTTCAAAAACCTATACTCGTATACTTTACGATTTTCTAGTGTTTTTGTATAATCAAGATTTCTAAAAATGCGGGTTTCCAGAAAAGTCAGCATGAAACGCTAAGAAGTTATTCACTAATATAAACGAAATCAGTACATTTGAAAATAGATTTTTCAATATTATGTACATTTTTTTGTGTACCTGGTTTTTCAAAGACTTTGGATCTCTGTAAAACCCAGCTAAAAGCATTTTCGACCTTTGTGAATCAGTTCATTGAAAAGAGCGCATCTGAAAACCTATAAAATAACTGTCTATAGGCTTTTCCATTGCTTTTATAACATGTGTCCACGTGCCTTGCCAAAATTACCCACTGTAGTTAATACATAAACATTTGAAACTGTCTATTTTACTATACAATCAATTTTTTTTGAAACTGATAAACATGTGTATTATAAACAATATTCCTGAAGTGTTTTTCGCTCACTGATAATAAATTTGTATAATAAATTTAATTTTTGATCTAAGTTTAAATTAGTCATATTCGATACATGTTGAATTAAATGATCGATAAATTGTTCATCATTATACGTTACCAACTCTTCTACATCGTCATCATCTAATTTTCTCTTTTTTACTCCCATTGTTTTAATATTATTTGTATTACTATTATCAAATAATGACCATACACGTTGTGATGCTACTTGTCCTTGTTGACGATTCATTATCAACGGATATTTTTGAACAAAATTTAATAATTCACCTAGTAGCGAACGATCATAAATATAAGAAAATAGTTTGGGATATTCCAACGTTTGATGATGTTGAATTTTTAACATTAAATCATTTATCATTGAACGATATTCATAATCGTCATCTTTCTCGTGTATAGCTTCTTCTAAATGAAATTATTTTTAATAATTCAATGACAACTTTCGACATTTCTCACTTCTAGTCTAATCGAGTTTAACTATACTACCTACTTTTAATACTGTAGTACTGTAACAGTACAAGACAATGACCAAGATACGTATGTTCATTTGATAAATAATCGTTATCTTTGTAAGAGAAAAAACATGTGCAAATAATTTGTAATAAATAAACAAAACATGTTTCATAAGTCTGATTTATAAAATAATAATGATTATCGGTAGGATTATTTTCTTCGTTTAACGATGTACCGGATAATAGTGGATAAACAATTTGTTTCTGAATTGTTACATGTGATTTTGAATGAAAATATTGTTGAACATAAATCAAAGTATCAATTGCTAATGTTATAGTCTTACGTTTTTGATGACGTAAAATTAAATATAACGAACATAATTGTAACGTTGAGTGAATATATTGCGATGGTAAATTGCGTAATTTTATTATATCATCTTCATATTTCTGAATTAATTCATCCAAATCAACGACTTTTAAAGGAGATGAAGATGATAATGATAATGATGGTGGTGCTGTTGAGACAGATTCAGTACTAGTTGGACTCGATGGCGTATCTTGAATCGGTATATTATGTTCGCTAAACAAAAGATAAATTATATTATTCAGAAGTTAGTAGTAAACTTTTACTCATATAAAAATACATCGATGATTATCACAAAGATGATAATAAAATATAATAATTTTTAAATCATAGTATTAATGAACATGTATTTGAAACATGATTACTTTTATCAATTGATCTTCGATACAACAAAATGAAAATAAAGGTTTTTTTCGTTCAAAAAAATAGTGTCTAACATTAACTATTATCATAGTAATCAATACTTCAAAGATAAACATTTCATTTTCTAAATACGCTTTAAACAATATTTTTTTCAATACAAGAAATTGATGTCAAAATTCATATCAACTTGCGTACAGAGATAAGTCAACGAACAAAAACAATTTTTCTGAAAACACATACATTCAATCGATTTAGCTAGACGATTCAGTATCAATCAATTTGAAAAATGATTTTCTAGCAGTATTGTTCGTTTAAAAAACAGAATGTCTGTATTCACCTTTTGAATTTTACAGAAAAAGATGCTTCAATTGACTGAGAAAAAAGTTGAATCAATTCTAGTTTTACGTCCGTATCTGTACATAAATTGATTTTGTGTTTTTCGATAGTTTAAGTTTTAGAATACTATAGTGAATGTTTTTTCACTTGTACTCTGGAGCGAACAAAAGAGTGAATTTTTAATAATAATAGTCCTATAATAATAATAAAAAAATGACAATTTGTGTAATTCTTTTTGTAAATTAGTTAAAGCATTTGAAATTTTTGAACTCGTGAACTCTTGTCTTAAAAATCTAGATATATGTCAAGCTTTTCCTAAATGCAACTGAGAGATCTTCCTTTGTCGAACATAACAGATAGTCCAGAGAGTCTTTTAGGCATTTACACAATCCTGATTCATTTAATAGCTGCTATTACAAATTGAAAGTAGCAAAATCAAACATTCAGAGGGAGCTTGCCATGTATGTTATCGATCATTCTGTATTTCCCAAAGATGAGTGAAATATAGTAGAATTCCTTAAAATTTTTAAAATCACAATTATAGAAAATTTACCAATATTAATGGTGTGCTTACCCTATTGCTGTTATACTCTCTGACTCATCAACAATCTGACTAAATTTTTTTTCAATAGAAAAATACTGATATAATTTAAATAATATTTGATAGTTTTTACATTTATAAAGTTGAATTTTATTGATTAAATTTAAATATTGTTGTTGAAACGATGATTTTGATTGTATTAAATCTAAGCATGTTGAATATAAAAGAAAACAATTAACAAATTTATTCAAATAATTTGTCGCTAATGATGACGATTTAATCTGTTTTCTTGCATAATGATTATTTTTATTCTGATTTGATAATTTAACAGCACGTAAGAACATGTAATAATCTTGTTTTTGTTCAACGGATTTTGACAATTCTAATGTAGAATAGACGTATAAAGGAAAACTTGTACATAATAGATAACATGACAATGGACACGCTAGAGGTGAACGAACATCTTTTTCACACATTGTTGATAAACGAATTAATTGACTATGATAATTGAAAATAGACGATGAGTTACTAAAATAAAACAAGATTATAAACTATCTTTGAATATTTCATATATTTCGTTTTTATAGCGTTAGTTTTTGTTTATATATTTATAATATGAGCTCCTTAATTAAAAAATGCTTTTTCGAATAATGACTTGTTATTATTCTAATTAAAATTACAATACATGAGAAATAATTAACCTCCCTATTCTCTATATCGTGATGTGTTTACCTACTCTGATTTTTTAGTTGTTGTCTGTGGAGAATATTGTGACCAATCTGCTTGTAAAATAGCTGAATGTAATAAATCATTAATTTGTTCGAATGGTTCATCACAATAAAATGTCATCGTATCTGATCCTTGTAACTTAACATTCAAGTATGTTTCATCATTATTCTCTTCTCTATTTATAGAACAAAATGTTGAATATTCGGTATAAAATTCAATAACATATAATAACCAATCATGAATCGTATGAGATGGGATATTATATTGTTGTTTTGATTGTTTTGATGGAGAAGAAGAGAATAAAACTGGTAATAATTGTTTAACAAATAAATATCTTAACAAAAAAAAATAAATTCAAAGTTAACAAAAAACGTTTGACACGTGGATGTTGAAGTTTAAGGAAATTTTTAGTCGAAAACACTGTAAGATGATCTGTGATCCAAAATGATTCATTTAAATTGGTAAAATAACTGAAACTATTCCATTTTCGATATCTGCTTACAACCCATGACTATTGAGATAGTAACCACTAAATTAAGAATACATGTAGCTACTGTACGTTTCAAAAAAGAATGCCCCTGACTATTTTTCAAACAACTTTTAATAGAAAGTAGATAAAGAGATGCGGTTTTCGCTGTTCGAGAGCGCACACATTAAGACATCTTGAGAAATAAAGATCGAACCAGGTCTACCACCTGCAAGTGGTATGCCATTCACATCTTTGAACGACAAGATTGGAAAAGAACGAAAAAAAAAGATTTTTTTCCCGTTCTTCTACAGATTCGAACCTGCAAACCTTCCTCTACAAAATCATAGAGAGTTTATTTTTTTCTGTTCTCCCGTTCTCGATAGGGAGCGATTCTCCGAGGATGACCCTAACTCATGCTTTTTTCACTTATAATATCGAACGAATACTTCCCAAGTAGGTTTTCGACTAGGCTGATTCACGTGGCAATGTTTGTTTTTACTTTGGAACAAACTTTCACTATAACACAGTGGTTCATTCACTTGAAAGAACTAGGATTCTCCGCTATCGCCTTTTGACTGACATCTAAAGTGACCAAGTGTCTCAAATATGAGGAGCAATTCAAGGAAGCTGAAGCTATACTGAAAAATTAGAAGAAGATTTAGTGGATGAAAATGATGACGATTTTCAAGAAGATGAGGTGATTTCAGAGGAAGACTAAATTTTTTTCTATTGTTTTTTATTTTCTATAGGTACTTCGTTGTTAATTTTCGCTATGTTATGAATAAATTCTCGGTTCGAACTGTAATCAGTGCTGTATCACGATCAGCAATCGTTTCAAAGTAAAAACAAACATTGCCACGTGAATCAGCCTAGTCGAAAACCTACTTGGGAAGTATTCGTTCGATATTATTATTGAAAAAAGCGTGAGTTAGAATCGTCCTCGGAGAATCGCTCTCTATCGAGAACAGGAGAACAGAAAAAAATAAACTCTCTATGATTTTGTAGAGGAAGGTTTGCAGGTTCGAATCTGTAGAAGAACGGGAAAAAAATCTTTTTTTTTCGTTCTTTTCCAATCTTGTCTTTCAAAGATGTGAATGGCATACCACTTGCAGGTGGTAGACCTGGTTCGATCTTTATTTCTCAAGATGTCTTAATGTGTGCGCTCTCGAACAGCGAAAACCGCATCTCTTTATCTACTTTCTACCAATAGTTATTTGAAAAATAGTCAGGGGCATTCTTTTTTGAAACGTATAGTAGAAATACCATCATACACACATTCTCACGCGTGGCAAGGCTCACTTCTATCGAATTTCTCTTTCATTTTTATAAAACTAAATTATTTCTCTATTTTTTTCTGATTTAAAAAATGATGTTTATACCTTAAAATGTTTAATGTTGTTGAATATTTACACTGTTGTTCTCCTTGTAAAACTAATTGTAACATCTTAACCAAATATTTGAGTGATGTTTGATCATAATTCAGACATGTTAGTCTTAAACATGTGAGAATTTTATTAGTAAATTTATCAAAATCAGTAGATAAAATGAGAATTGGTGTAATAGTTGTCGATGATGATGGCCATGCCCATTTATTTAATTGATGTTCGAGCTCATCATAATATTTATGAATTAATTCTAGACAAATATTGTCACGAGTTTGACAAGATAGTAACTGGTATAGTTTTAAATAAGAAAATGAGGTGGAGGGAGAACATATTTTCGTTGAATTATGACTAAAATAGACAAAAAAACAACAACAAACATTTAATAAACTTACAATGCAAAATATCTGTGCTGAAGTATTTATATTACTGAGTATTGTAATAATTGTATTGCATTAACATATGTCTGTAATCTCAGACGTATGTATCTTACTTAAAAATCTCTTTTCTTCCAACAAAATATGTAGCAAACTCAAGCTTATTCTATTATTTGAATGCGTCTGTTTGAAAAAAGACAATTAGTCATGTTTACTATAATAGATTACCTACTACGGCTTTCTATAGAATTTTGATTGGTTAAAACATAACTGAAGAGTTGTTTGAATTCATTAAATAAATATCGATCATTTATTTGTGGAAATTTCCCTAACATATATTCAATGATAAATTTGAGTAAAACATAACATTGTTTATCACGAAACAGACGATAAAATTCAATTAATATTTGTAAATTATCCCCATAAATTGAAATTGTTGTTAATAACCAAGAATGAGCACGAGTTATTTCATTTATTTGACTACTATCATCTAGACTTGAACGAATTTCAGTTAAAAAATATTGTAAATCACTATTTGATAATATTGATGAAGAATCGACATCCATTTTCAAAAAATCTAAAATAACATAAATTCAGTATTCTAAGAATTTATCATTTGGGCGAACCCTACAAACAGAAACAACAGAAAACTATCTCTAATAACACAAATATTAAATGAATTTAAGAGCCATTGCACGGTAGAGCTAGCCATTTCTCAGTCCTAAAAACAGGCTGATACGATAATTATATAAAAGTGAAATTTCTTTTGTTTATATCTTGGTCTAGGAAGTCGATCAAGAGTGCACATTTGGAGCATAAGTAGTTGAGATCGAGTGCTATCTATAGCCAAGAATATGTGCTAACATATGATTCACTGAACTTTCATCGAAAAATAGTTCATCGAAAATACTTTTTGGCCCTTGGCTCATGACTTTCCTCCTAAAAGAGCTTTCCTGTGCACATTCACGGCTCTGCTATCTACTAAATCTTATCCACCATACCCTCCTATAGTAAAAAAATTTCGATAAAGTATTTTTCGATGAAATTACTTTTGTGATAGAAGTTTGCAGTACCTTAATGTGCAATGGCTCTTAAATTAGGGTCCAGTGACGGCAAATTTTGATGTTCTTGTTTTCCCCCTATAACGCAGGTTGGAAAAAATCCGCTCTCCATCTATGTTTGAACAATCCATGAAAATCGATAGCTGTCTATGGACGTTTATGAATATGACAGCCTAATCTAGAGCTGTAAAGACAAACAGTTTGTGAGAACGCATCAGCTCTTGGATGTGGTAGTATTTATTTTATTTAATTGTCTACATATACCATGTGAAGACTGCACTTTCACGATTATCTCGAACTCAACTACGGCTAGTTATCAGCAAGTGTCAGACTCGAAAATGACATGAATACATTATTTCTGCAAAGATGATGCAGGGCGGCCAGATTCATTTTTAGAGCCTTTTCCAAATTTTGTGCGATCTATATCTACGAAACAATATCTACACTACTGAGAAACAAGCGTGCAAGTTTATGATAGAAGAGAAGTTCATTCTACTAGTCGTAGTATCGACCAATGAGAACAGGTATCATACATCGGTGATGTCGCCCACTAGTGCATTTTATCAACTAGATCGAGAAGTTTTAGAAGCTTATTCGCTTGAAACCGACTGTAGATTCGGATTCTGTACGTAACAAACTTTGGGTAAAACTGCTTCTGAAAAATCAAAATTTCAAAAAATCCTTTGAAATGCCAAAAGAAATACAAAAATCTTGATCTGATTTATTGATTCAAAAACAATGGACGAAATAATTTTAATATTTCAATCGATCGTTGGACATCGTGCATTGCTCGATGAAGCTTGCCATCTAGGGATTTTGTTTTCATTTCGAGTTCTTTTTCCAATTCTACCATCTTTTCAGATGACCATCGTCCCATGACGCCCATAAAACTGCTCACGTCAATGATACGATAATGCATATATTCGTAGACTTGGGGCATTCTCAATTTGATAACTTCACGATCACAATGGATCGAACTACCAGCTAGTGGGCAACCTTTTCGTGGACAATGACGCTTTAATAATTCCAATATTTCTTCTTCCATCTGCTCCTTTTGTGTGCCGGATTTGACTAAATCTTCAAATAGACCATTTCCACCTTTATCACGAGCTGTAAATGCTTTCTGATGCCACTCTGACAATTTATCAAGTTCATCTTGCTCGTAGTGTATTATCCAGTTACCTCGCTCTAATTCGTTTAAGTCTTTATCAGTGATAATAATAGCACATTCGAGAATATGGGGATCATCTAATGATGTTAATTCTAAAATAGGAATGATTGTGATTAGAGATTGATGTCTGCAATAGAAGAAAACCTTGCCTGTATCCAACCACACGATATTCATTGCTTTTTGCTGATATTCATTCAAACCTGCCGCTAATTCATCATATTTATTTTTCAATGTTGTATCGGCACCTAATTCGATGAGTAACGCGAACATTTCTGCTTTCTGATACCAACCACAAAGATGGAGTGGTGTGTTGTCGTCACTTTCACGCTGAACGTTCAAATCGAATTTATATTTTTCCACTGCATGTCGAACGAGCTGAGTATGCCATGTGAGAATGAGCTCGAGAATTAATGAATGCTTGTGCTTTGTTGATTGATTTCGCCACGTTTGTACTTCCTTTTGACCAAAATCTTTGACGAGAGCATCAAGAGCATTAATCATTGCTTGCTCATTGTCCTTCAGAGCGAAAAGTTCGCTAATACGATTCTCGAGTGTACATGAACGTTTTTCAGTTGGTTCAGACATAAATCTGAAGAGAAACATAGGAAAAAGTGATCCTCATACTATTTGTATTAGTGTCAGTTTTTTTCTTAGGTCCTGGCATTTTTCATTAAGATGGAAAAAATTCATGCTCAAAGGCAACTCAACTTACGAGGAAACCTTCCCAGGTGTCAAACTCCGTTTTCAATGATCTTATGCCATTTGATAGAGGAAGTGTGTGCTAGTTAAAACTCTAAAAGAATTTATACCCATGGTACTTCTTTTAAGAGTTATGAATATTTTTGTTTCGCTGGAAAACAGGTACAAAAAAGATCGGCCAACAATCTTACCAAATTTAAAAAACAAATAGAAAAACATACGCGATTGCATTAGAATAAAAGAAATGTGAGTTAACCCTGACACGACCACGTTTAGGGCAACCACTTGTTGTCCACCTAGGGTCCGTGCGGATCCCAGCCTGATAAAACAGGGATAATACCTGAAACTGTTACTATTTTATAATGTAACTGTGAAGGCTCTCGAGGAGTCCTGATCGTAAAAAGAACAAATACAAAAGCAGTTAAATTTGAATTTCATTATCTTCTCATTTTCTTATCAGTCTTTATTTGCAAAGCATTTCAAAACATGTATCGCATATTCACCATTGGGTAAATCTATGGATATCCAACCGCTTTTCTGGAAAAAGGGTTTTTTCGACTTTTTTCGTGCTAGCTAGGTGGGAAATGGTTAGAAAACAGCTTTGGCCGAAAAAATTTGCCGACTTTCACCTAAAATGGCGAATATTCCGATCGTTTTCTAGGAACATCTCAAGAAGGCCCGTAGGTGATTACAAGCATTTGAGCTCATATTTTGCTCATTAGAAAGGAACCACTAGATTAGTACAATCTCCAAAGACCTTTGACCGAGATATGACTGTTTCAAAACACAGTATTTGTATAAAATTATAAAAATATGGATATGGGAAATCCCTGTGTTTTGAACATGCATATCTCGGTCAAAGGTCAATAAAAAGAGAATCCTTTGGAGATTGTACTAATCTAGTGGTTCCTTTCTAATGAGCAAAATATGAGCTCAAATGCTTGTAATCACCTACGGGCCTTCTTGAGATGTTCCTAGAAAACGATCGGAATATTCGCCATTTTAGGTGAAAGTCGGCAAATTTTTTCGGCCAAAGCTGTTTTCTAATCACTTCCCACCTAGCTAGCACGAAAAAAGCCGAAAAACCCCTTTTTCCAACAAGTGGTTGGATATACATTTACTCACGTATTTTGAGCTGCTCCATCACTTCAATGACAACTGAATAAGATTGATTGATGCTACCAGCGTACTCCACTAACGAGGAAACCACTCCAACTGTCTGATCGCTTTTTTCACGAAACAAAGTTAGAGAACAAAGTTAGAGAATTTATAAGAAAAGTCCTAAATGTTCATTGTCAGGTCAAAGCTACAGAAATAAGAAAGTAATTTAGGGCTTTTCTTGTAAATTCTCTAATTTTGCAAAGAAAGGTCGTGTAGAGCTGGAAAGTGTCTTATTTTAATCAGAAATCTGCGAGCTACAATTATGTCTCATTAAGAAAGGTTTTGGTTATCTTTTGGAGTTTCTGAAAAGCTGGTTTTCCAGAAAAACGATCTCTAGAGGCCTATATACCTAAACCACTATGATATTCAGATTCAGCACACTCGATTACCTATTGTCCACTAGGTTTCATGAAAAAGCGATCGGACAGTTGGAGTGATTTCCTCGTTAGTAACTTTAACCCTTTCCAGCCGGCTGTTTCGAAAACACAGCAAAAAGTGTTGCCAAATGGCAACATCAGGCTGGAAAGGGTTAACGTTGATAAATGAAAGAACTAATTTTCTCATCTAGGAGTCGATCTGCTAATTTTTCACAGGTAGTTTTTTAGATGGTTATAAGTCTAGACAGGTAACTCAGCATTAAAATTGTCTTTGACCAATTCTTAAGTGTACAGCGTGCTGTAAGCAATACCAATCACCTTGAGAGATCAGTCTCAGTCAGTATTATCAAGAATAGAATGACTAATACAAACCTTCATTTTATACTAAGTTAAATTAAAAAAGGTTACTACCACCCTCACCTAAATGGTTTACTGTCATATATAGGCATAATGTTGCTCACACGACAAGAAGACGTTCAGAATTTAGTCTCCTTTTTACGGATCAATCAATACGAGCGACAGTTTGTACCTAGTTCTTTATGTCAAGCTTGTAACATTTCTGAAACAGCTGAACATTACTTACCCAGATGATAGAGCAGTTAAGAATAAATAAGAGAATGTTGAGTACACAGCTGCTATTATCTATGACTATTTGCTTCCCGTACATGTAACGCTTATTGAATATAATAAAATGGATATAGTTTTGTCAGCATACTCAGAGCCGGAATGGTTTATACATAGAAAAATTGAAAGGGCTACACAACGAGCTATAACACATTCTTTCAAATCATAAGTTTGTTAGATTTACGAGTAAAAAAATGAATAACATATTTTTCTTGTTTTCTGATTAATTTTGCTAATTTTGGTGACATGGAGCCTTTCTCCATTTGAATGCTGTTTGATGAAACTTTCATTCAGATTAAACTTACGATTTGAAAGAATGTGTTATGGCTCATTTGATAGCCCTTTTAATTCTGCATCTTTCTATATGCAAACTGTGCCTAATCCAAGGGGGGAAAAGCATACTTCTGCACTTCTCGGTACTTCTCCGTACTTCTTTATACTTCTTCGTACTTTTTTGTACTTCTTCGTACTTCAGAATAGCTCATTGTGTAACCCTTTCAATTTTTCTATGTATAAACCAATCTGGGTCGGAGTGCGCTGACAAAACTATATCCATTTTATTACATTCAATAAGCGTTACATGTACGGGAAGCAAATAGTCGTAGATAATGTTTGACCAATAACTCTATGAAGACATTAGTTTGAAAAGATGTGCTTGCTATAGATCATTTTAAAGCCCGTTTAATATAAGATTCTATTAAGAACATCGAACTTCCAGAGAAAAATGAATAAATACGATCGAACAGGCTTTTTGGACCGATGCTCAGAAATGACTAAAAATTCCAGCATATGGTAGTTTACAATCAACTTTTAAGGCGTAGAAATATTAAAAGCTAAATAACGAACTGTTTCTGTTCAGTTTCAGTCGTCTTCTCAAAAAGATATAGGGCCATTTTCTTGCAGAAATCGTCTTCTGTCGTTCGTTTGTTTAAATATTACAAAACTTAATTTATATGTAAAAAATAATAGTAAATTAAATTTTGGCATTTTCTCTCGGTAAATCTGCAGATTTCTTCCAAATTGTTGCAAACGAGATGGCTGCACTGGTGTATATGAGTGGAGATAATGCACCAATAGAAAATTTCCTCTTTCGCGGGTGTTCTACGTTTTTCACATGTGCCATAAGGTAAATAGAATATTTTCGTGGTTTGATGTAAATTGATACTGTTACCCGATAACGGAAATAAATTCATAGACATTTACAATAGCACTTGACTGTTTAAATTTGAACTAATTTGTGTTAAGTGAGAAAAGTAGTCGGTCATATCTATTCTATAAATTTTGTAGAGCTGTAAAGAACTGTGTAAAATCTATGCTGATAGTGTAGGTCAGCAGATAAATAAACAGAAAATCATTTTATAAAAGTCACCATGACTGATGTACTCTACGATGCTAATATACTGTCGAGAGAATTATAGAACTGTGAAAAAATTACGGTTCTATGATAGAATAGACTATTGGCATTGAGTCATCCTTCTTGATGAGAGACACGTACACACTCGATTAACAGAGACATAAAAAAAAGAAAAAAATAGTATCTTTGGACTCAACATGTAATTAAAGCTTCAATAAATGATGCTGGTTTTTGACTCACAAAAATCACTCTTTAGAAATTACAAGAACAGAAGAATTACAAAATATAGCACCAAAAACAACAAATTTCTTTTTTTGTTCTCTTAAAACGATTGTTCGATGGTGGGTATGATAAATGCAATCAGGGAAGAGCTCAATTTTATAGCACGATATAAAAAACATGAACCGGGTTACATACAAACAATGTAAGAACAAACGAGATTCTACCTGGGCAGGGATAAAAAAGAAAAAACCCGCAAATGATATATACTTTTTTGATTGCACTTATGTTTTTTGAGCAAAACGAAGAATAAAAAACACACAACATACACATACCCTGCATATGTTCGTCACAAAAAAAAAGAGAGATTATATCAGCATGAACAAAAGAAAACAAATTATCGTTGTATACACGTGTTTTGATTTGTTTTTGACCAAAACAACCGTTGATTACACGAAGAAAGAGAGAGATGTATTAGTAACGGTATGACGATATTACCGTAATCTTCTCATCACTGTGTATATGTATTGTAATGTAACGGAATCACGTTGATGATGTATGATGATATATTTACAATAATAATAACGAATAGAGAGAGTAAATAAGAATAACAAAAAGTGAAAATAGATTAATAATAAATGATGGGTACTTTGACCCAAAATAGCAACATACTACTGTTCAACGATTTATATTTATACAAGATAACATTAATTCAATATGGTCGATAACGGTGCACAGTATTACTCATACTCTAAAAAAAGGGAAAAATCACGTTAATATCATCATGCTTTGCTATTTCTATATTTTATTTAATCTCAACTTACTGAGATAGGTCCGATTGTTCCCGGAGCAGTAGTTATATAAGCAGTTTCCGGATAAGCATGTCTAAAATTAAAAATAAATATCATTAATAAGTTTAATTTGAGCTAATAATGTATAGTTTTGAGCTAGAAAAGACAAAAACAGCCATTGTGTCAAATTGCGTAACATTCGCTAAAAGACATATTGAATTGTATCGTTGAATTTTTTTTGAAATCTCAACATACAACACACGCATACACACACACAGGCAACATGCATATATCAAAGTCATATCGTTTTCAAATTTAAACTAAAAAATGACGCATCTCTTCAACTAAAAGCTTTATTTTGTATTTTTTTCGAATGGCGAGCATGCAAATATGGATAGTACTTCTTGAATAATACGCACATTCACATGCAAATAGATAATTGGAAATTGCGCCATTGTACACAGCCGTCTGTCCGTATAACAGACGTGCGAAGGTATAGGACATTCATCTAAAGATTTTAACATTGACTCCGTAATTTTGTGCTAACAATTTTTTTCTAAAGTTCTTAAAAGCTTCTAATTGATATGACGATAAGTTTTAAAGTAACTATAATATATGTTTAAGCTTATGATGATAAGAATATACTGCTTGATTGTAAAAAAAAGACTACATATTAAAATCCTATCTGTTGTTATACAATGTTGCTGATGCACATGTCCATTCTTTTTTTTTTGTTGAAAAACCAAGAATGAGACTTTCATACCAATGATGCAAATGTTGGTAAAGTACGAATTGAACCAGTTATTCTGCAAAAACATAGCGAATAGAAGAAAAAAAATGATAGAGAAATAAAGGAAATAACTGCAGATATCCACCACAAATCGAGCAAACACTGCAAAACCCTTAACAACCAACGATAGAAAACAGCACAAACACTTTTTATTTACCCTAGTTGTTGAGTCGTTGCCATGTGAGTTGGCTGACCATTTATAATATAACCAGTTGGTTGACCACTTCCATTTGCCATTGGAAGAACACTAATATAGGGTAAAGAATGATCCTCACTTAAATTCTGGTATAAGGATCATAATAAGCGTGAAGAAATTTCAATCTTACCCAATCGCATATGTTCCACCTGGTTGTCCGACACCGGGCGCTGTTGTAATGTATCGAACACCTCCGTTTTGTGCAGTTAATGGATAAGCAGCCATACCACCAAGCGCTGCTAACTGATCAGAATATATTCTAGAGAAAAAAAGAAAATGTTAAAATAAATTAGAAAGTTTTTCATATCTAAAAGCTTACGCATATCCACCAGGAAGTGCAACACTTGTCGTAAAACCCGATCTTAAGCCCGCTTGTGATGCTGGAATTAATGTTGGACGTTGTCGACCATTCATCATCACACCTTCAATATAAAAATAAAAAATCTCATAAAAAAACCCAGCTATTGTAAAATAAAAGTACTTACCAAATGAATTTGGAACAACTTGTTTTGGTTTTGATTGTGATCGAGCTGTAGCCATATTCACCTAGAGAAAACGAGTAAGACACATGCATTGTGGTTACTCGGCTACTAGTATACGTCTATTTGTTTACAACAAAAGCAGAATGAATGAAACAAAACAAAAACCAACAACTGTATAATGGACATGCTCTGAGCGGACGCCATCATCATTTTTCCTAGCCATTCCATTGGTATGTGACGTAGTTAACGTTTTTTCAATTAAAAGAAAAAACGTATACTAATCTATTAGGAAAGTATACATCGTGCGTTTATCCCAACTTTTATTTTTTTTTTATGACAAGCGGCATTTCAAGAGAGAGAAAGAGAGCGAAACAAGTTGATCATACCTCAAGTGCAAAAAAAAAGTTGAGTAGTGTGAAAAAATGCCATCTTTAAACGATCAAAATTTTAAAATCAGTTATACGCATACACAAATCACCAAGTATGTGTGTTACAAAGGGATGCTGTCATGCGTTTGATAGCATTTGAGAAAGTGAGTATAGAATGCATATACGTGTATGTGTGATCTATATACCTCTAAAATAGGCAGTTAGTATTAGCAAATTGAATATATGTAAGACAGAAGAGAGAGGTGTTTTGATGAAAATTAAAAATAAAGAAGCATGCTTATTTCAAGACATATATCAAAACTAAGTTATCATGAGTATTTTTAACTTAGTCTTTGAAGCAATTTTTGATCGCAGAAACGAAACTGCTCGATGACTGTATATTACACGGACAGTCCAGTTAGATAAGTGCAGTCAGATAAGCGAAATTCAACTAAAAACAACACTATTTTCGTGTGGGACAGAAATAATTGATGAATTTTACAATGGACTATGTAAAAGAATCTTTTACTTATTCAAATGATGATTCTACTTGGTCAAACATGGAATATTTTGTAAAAAATAACTCTTTCTCAAAAGAAGACATTATTATCAAGTTTCTGAGCAGCTTATAACTCGGCAATAACCATTTGAAATAGGTGTCATCAATATAAACCAAATTATTTTTATGTACAATATGTTAGAAAACAACATCTGATCATACATGTTCGACTCAATGAAAGTGTGCGATACTTCTGCTGATGTGATACGCTTTTCTCCTATCTCTCTCTCTCTCTCTCTCTCTCTTATTCATATTCACCTCTTTTTTGGTTATTTTCAACGACTACAAAGACAAGATCTGTTGTTAACAATCATGCACATGCGAAAACTAGATGGGAAAACATATAATTTCGACTGACTAATAGCACATTGAGTGTGTGTGAGTGTGTTTGTGTGGTATGTGTGTATGTGCGTATATTATCCTAAAGTATGTACTAATAATAACAACAATGTATAGATGAGAGGACAACAATAAGTAACCACATCAATGAGAGTTACTGTTTATCATATTTTTCATCACTGATTTATATACACTTCCATCAGTTATATACTACGTTCAGTACACATATTGAAAGGAGACAAAAAAGAATCATAACATTCATGCGCCGATATATGCACAACTAATACGTTTGTGTACGATGATATTTTTCTTTTTAATGAAAATCAATTTTTTTTCTAGAGATCTATCACGATGATGATGATAATAATAGACATACAAGCAGCCACAGACAGGCATGCAAAATCAATATTAAAAAAAAAAACGAACGAAAAATATTGGTAGCTTGCTTCAAGTTTTTATAGCATACTAATGAGTAAGTGGTCTGTTTATTCTAGATACCTATAGTTGGTTTTTTAGTAGCCAGTCTGTGGAGACGAATAAAAATACTAGAAACAAATATAGAAAAAAAATGTGGACTTTTTTTTTACACATCTTTTATTTACTATTTATATTAATACTAAAATCTTAATTTAATATGGAATAAGTTTAAAATTTGTACACACTCTTATTTTAATATGTTTATGTGTCAAAATAGTTGCATTAAAATTTGTAAAATGAAAAGAAAAATTTCAAATATTTTGTATTTTGTCTAAAAATTCGAGATGCCATTCTTATCAGTTCGTGAAAGAAAACTATCATCAATCAATTAATATTTATCACAGTCATCTCATTTTGTATTAAGTTAATTTTTTTTTATCATTAGATGACAATCGTAGTATCGAAAAGTGGGTATAATTATCTGCTATTTCTTCTATAGTTTGTAATTATCAATACAAGATTTGTTATTTTGAGGAACATTATGAAAAAAACAAGAAGATATTTATCGTTTAAAGATGGCAGTAACTCGTCCTTATTATTCGTTTTCTCTCTCACTCAGTAAAAACTTAATTTAAAAATAAAAAAAAAAAAACTTTAAATAAATTAATAAAACTAAACATACTTCAATTTTTCTTCCTTCAACAACAGCACCATGTAATTTTTCTCGTGCAAGATCAGCTTCTTCACATAAAGCAAATGTTACAAATCCAAAACCCTAGAGCACAGAAAATCAGTGATAAATCAATATAGTCTCTAGACATGACATGTAATTTTACCTTTGATCCACGTTCATTAAATATAATTTCAACATCAACAATATCGCCAAATTGCTAAAATGAGAGCAATAATGAGAAGATATGAGAAATTTGAGTAAAAAATGAGAAATATATACCCCAAACATCGCTTTTAAATCTTCATCTCGAAAACGAAACGGTATGTTTGATACATGTAAACGTTTTTGTGTATTTGATATGCTGACACTACTGGTAGTCGATGAAGATGGTGTACTCACATCTGGTGGAGTACTAGATGATTGATTATTCTGTGGAGATTTATTATTGATTGATAAAGATTTTAAAATAGAATTTGATTGAGCCTAAAAGAAGAAAAATGATATAGAATTATTATGGTTAAGATCATGCGCGTAGAATTTATGTAAAATTATTTTTATTTAAGTCTTTCTTATCTAATACATTAAATTTCATAATTGATCGATATATTTTTAGAATGTATACATACGGTGTCATTTTGATCTGGTGATTGACTAATTTTTTGACTACTGTTCATTAACGTTTGAGATTGAAATTCATTTAATCCATTTGGATAAGAATTTGAGGATGAATGATTGACATTTTGTTGTTGTAATGGGGACGAAGACAATGAAGATGAATTTGAATTTGAAGATGGTACTGGAGGCTGTTGTTGTTGTAATATTAGTTGATGATGGTATTGTGGATGAAGAGTTGGTGTTGAATCAGACTGTTGAATAAGTCCATTTGTTGTTCCATTTGTCGTTGCTGTTGTACGTGTTTGAGGTTGAGCCGCTATCGTTG